ATGAGAGTCACCCTAGAGTCCCTGTTAATAACCATGTTCAACTGAGGCAAAAACATGACAAACATGAATACACATTCAGATAGAAAGTACACTTGTCATGTAATATTCCTAGATCTCTTATCTAGAAAGATGACATCTTCCATGCTGCCATTAAATCATCAAGTAAATTAAGACACCCACACAGATATATAAAACATATGTTGCAAGTAATGTACAAAACTTCAATGGCATTTATCTTATTGACAAAAAGGTACAACTGGGCTTTTGTAATATAGAAAACATTCTCCCACATAGGAATGGACAAATATATATATGCATATATTTTCATGCAACTCTTTATAACATTTTAAAACAAATCTCTTCTTTGTTTCTCCAACAGTATGAAACGCTTAATGATGTCCCAAGGTGATAAGTTTACAGCAGAAGAGGTCTATATTTCTAAGAATGTTGTTTTTTAAAGTGGAAATGAACTTTTAAAAATGCAGCCAGGATCATCCCAATTAAAAATCAAATTCTTTAACTGGGATATTTGTTACTGGGTTAGGCCAAACAATTATCATCTTATACCAATAAGTTCAAAACAAATTTCTTGAAACAAATAGCTATTGTTCCAAACTCATTTAACCTGGACTTTCCCAAGTACAATACACTTGAATAAATAAAATATTGAATGTAGGGTAAGGATCCATGAAGTTGCCTTACATAATCCAGATAACTGAAGCATCTGTCACCCTGCTGAAATCAAATGGCAACAGCTGCATGGATCCATGAACTGAGGGGTGCTAAACTCTGGATGCCACAGATTAAAATTCACTTGCTTCTGTTTACAACACGCAAATGTGGTTGCTGAGCTATGAATTCTTTGATAAAGGGCTGGCTCTAACTGAAAATAAAAAGGTTGCCAAGTTTAATCTATAGAAAGTTCAGATGACTTCTAAGCTCTTTTGTACTTCTAATTAGTAGCTAATGTAATATGTACTTAGTGCCCACACAAAATTATTGTTCTTTAGAAAAATTAGTTAATCATTACTGTTATTTTCAGGTGGAAGGTAGCTAATGGAGCTAAGTTCCTTTTGTTGAAGTTATGTTTTTGTCCTAATACATTTCAGTTCAGTTGTATGAAAGCTTTTGTGAAGAACCCTGAGATAGCACTTCTAGTTTTGTTACTTCAGTAGAACCTCTGGTCACGAACGCTTTTGACCACAACCAAATTGGGTTCTGACCAAAACATTCACAAAATTTTTGAATCTGGTCATGAACACATACTTGGGTCAAACACAACCCTGACCCAGAAATTCCTAAAGACTAAACATTAGAAGATGAAGAAGTCACCAAAGTTATGGAATGAATTATGGTCATGACCAGAGGTTCTACTGTATACTTTTCAGTTGGTGGGATTCAAAGTTTTTTACTATTGCTACTGTGGGCATGGCTGGGTGGGCATGGCAGGGGAAGGATACTGTAAAATCTCCAGTCAGAGGTGGTATTTGCCGGTTCTCCGAACTACTCAAAATTTCTGCTACTGGTTCTCCAGAACTGGTCAGAACCTGCTGAATACCACCTCTGCTCTAGGAGGAATTTTTAGTAGATAACGCTTCTACAGTTTCCAACTTTAAAGACTGAAGAATCACTTGGCAGTGGTCTTTGGGCTTGTCCTGCTTAAATTCCTTGGCTAAATTCTTCCCTTTTTCTATTGTTGTACAGATAGATCAGATGTTTCAATGCTCCCCTATTGACTCGGCAGGAAATCTGGATTACAAAGCTCTCTGCTACACCATCACACATGGAGATGAAAAAGAATGAAATTCATAAGCTTTAGGAAGTTGTGTTAACATCTGTCACATTAAACAAAATGACAAAACACTTCTTGCTTTCTCTGTGATTTGAAACACTTATTTAAACAGCTGTCTTTCCAGATATTGATGTTATTAACAAGGTCACTTGAAACACACAAATATATTATTTCAGTTGTGTTTTTGTGCTGCTGAACAGTTTAAAAAAAGATAGAACAGTTATAGTATGCACCTTCACAATGCATTTGAAATTTATTACAGGGATACTTTTATGCAGATGAAATATTCAATTGGTGCATCTTTGTATATTCCAGATGGTCATTGACTCTTCCTTCATGGTGAATATTTGAAAGAGTGGAGCAGTAGCAATAACATAAACTGTTGTAGCAGAATACTATACACAGCATTTGACATACCAGCCACTTGGAAATGTCCCATCTGCATCGTTGACTATCTGCCAGTTAATGAAATTGAGATTTAAAATTCACCTAGAAATAGATTAGGGTTAAGGTTAATTAAAAAAAAATTGCCCTGGAATATTCTAAGCAATCTATTATACAGCTACTTGTGTGTGTTGAACAGAGATCAGAATGAGAGACATCGTTCTGCTGTGATTAAGATACCTACCGTACATTCTAGTCGGAGGGCCAGTTTGATGTAGTGGTTAAGGAATCAGGCTAGAAACCATGAGATTGTGAATTCTAGTTCCGCTATAGGCACAAAACCAGCTGGGTGACCTTGGGCTAGTCAACTTTCCCTCAGTCCCCAGAAAGAAACAATGGCCAAAACACTTCTGAAGAACCTTCCCAAGTAAAGTGCAGGAATTTATCCAGTCTCCCAAGAACTCGATATGACTCAACAGACAAAACGGGGGGAAAGTCTATTCTAACCTCAGGGATAGTTCTCTGAGTTATTTGAGCCAATCAATGTCAGCCCTTCAAGACTGATCAGACTAAGAATCCAATATCATGTTGGTCAGCACTGCTTTCATTGTAAAGCTATAGTAACATAATCTTGTAAGCCTGAATACATACATAGACACATACACACTTTATCTCTGTGAGAACTATGGTCTTGTCTGAGATATTTACTAGTTATCTTCCAGCTCCAGACTCATTCTTCTTTTATCTGACCATTGTCCTTCACCTCTCCCCACTCTCCTTCAAGGCCATCCTCTCTGCCTTAGCCCACTCCACTTTATAGGGTTATTGTGAGGAAAAGTAGATAATGTACTATGCTTAGAAGTGCATATCAAAAAATATTAAAATCTCTCATTGTGTTTTGCGACTTTTGCTCCTGGTTTTCATGAAGGGAACAAAGGAAAACTATGTTTTTACAAAACTCATAGTAGATGAGGAATAGCTGGTTTAGAAAGGGAAATAGCAAGAACTTAAAAATCTAACTTCCAAAACCATGTAAAGGCAATAGTAAGAATTCTGTATCATAGATTTACTGGTAGGTCTTCACTTAACTCTGCATCTCCATCCATGGAAAGGACACTAGACTTACACTATTTTCACAAGTGCACCTATCACCTAAAAAAGCTATAATAGCAATTCAGAAAAAAGCAGGATATATTCATAATAAATTGTGACCCGTAGTCAACCCTAATGTGTAGTCCATTCTGTAATGCAGGGCTGTCAAACTCCCAGCCTGCGGGCTAGATGCGTCACACACTGGCCGTGCCCGTGCCTGGTTTAGCAAAGTGGGGGGGGGAAGTCCTGATATGCCACATGACGCTGCCGTGATGATGTGAGTTTGACACCCCTACTCTAAAGTGTAGTCTTTAATATTAAAATTATAGTCTTTATAGCATTATGCTTTTTTTTTTCTATACAAGATGACAGTTTGGCCTGAGTGTCCCAATATTTCTTAGTCTTTAAGTAAGGATTGAAGTAAATATCCTTTTCTGCAGAATATGGTATGCAATCAAACAGAATATGCACAATATTTTCAAAAGCTGGTGCACCATTTATACATTATCTTTCTTCACATGGAGATTTTCCAGTATTTTATTTTATAGAACCAAGTTGTTTGAACAGTTCTTTAGAAAGTTCTTCTTAGATGTTAGGGTATATCACTTGTTAAATGCTTTTATATCTGGGAAGCTGATTTGTGTTGACCCAGTTACTTCATGGATATTTGCTTGTCAATTTTGCCACAATTAGAAGTGTGTATGTGCTTAATCAAATGATTTTTAAAATTATATATATATGTGGTTTGTTTTTAAAAAGATAAAAAGTAATTTAGACTAATGTAGAGTAAGGGATAAAAAATGAAAAAGACAAAAAAGCTAATAGCAGAAGAAAGAAAAAAGCTAAAGTTAAAAAGAAAAAAGATACAAAGAAGTAATTTCTGAACTTCTTTACAGCAATTTTAGATAAAATTAAAAATTTACCTGTTTCTTTAAAGACTCTTACTTGACTCTTACTTGACTCTTACTTGACTCTTATAAGCTGTCCTATGTAATCATTAAAACTACAAATCATATGTTAATTTTTTTAAAATACAAAAAGCCCATCAGGGGTTTTCCACTCAGCAATAAACATATTGTCTTTTTTCTGACCAATGTAATTTGGTCATTGGGCTAAATCAAATGTTGACAGGTATCTTAACTGAGTATTTCCTAGTTTAGGAAACTGCAGATGGTTTCATCCTCTACTGAATTAAGAGAAAACATACTGGAAGTTTCCACCATTATATTAGTGATGGACTTCATGGCCATTCTGAAGTTCTTGAAATACTTTTCAAGCTTACTCTAGAGCAGGGCTGTCAAACTCCCATCCCACGGACCAGATGTGTCATGTGCTGGCCATGCCCTCGCCCGGTTTAGCGAAGGGGGGAAAAGTTCCAATATGCCACGTGATACCACAGTGATGCTGTGAGTTTGACACCCCTGCTCTAGATCATGGGTGTCAAACTTGCCAGATCAAGTTGCCATCACGTTTTGTGATGTTTTTCCCATTCGCAGAGCTGGGGTGGGTGTGGCCTCCACATGATGCATCCGGCCCGCGGGCTGCCAGTTTGACACCCCTACATCTAGATAATGGTGAAGGAAAGTATCTAAATCACAATCTCTTTCTCCATGTTATGGGGACTATATAATAGTTTTATTTGAAATAGTTATAAAGACATTTTGAGAAGGAATACTAAAATGATATGAGATACCAACTCTTAATAAATGTAACATTTAATAAAAATAAATAAAAGATTCCATTCAATTAACACATAGATAGAATAATAAAGGACCAAAGAGCTTTCAGCAACTATAGTTAAATCTTAGTATTTTATGTTGCTATTCAATCTATCTCAAATCTCAGATATACCATATCTCATAAATATAGTTTAGTTCAGTACCATAAATTTATTTTTCATTCATATAGTACAAATGTACTGAAAAAAAAACCCAAGATACTTTACAGCTTGCCTCAGTATTGCTCTTGAAGTCCTACTATTCATATTTTTTGAGAGGTGTAATGATGAATTTCTATTGAGAAATAGTGCAAAAATTCTCACATTAAATGGCAATATTAAAGATTTATAATCAAACTTGTAGGCATGTCAATAGCTTGATAGTGAAAGCAACCTTGTTAAGTGTAGCAGAGAATAATGCTGAAGAAAAAAATCCTCTCACAAAACAGATCTAGGAAAATATTTCACATTTATGATATAACTATCCTCAAAAGCCAGCTTAAAGCTTCCAAAGGATCACCTGTTTCAAGGGTCTAGCATCAAATAGTTACTTTTTAAAAACTTATTGATTGATTGTTAAATTTATTTTGCTGTGAGGTTGCTCTGAGTGGCTTACAAAAATAAAACAGAAAAAAATGATAAAAATGTAATCATAACAATACCAAAGGAATGAAACAATAAAAATAAATGATGAAAGCACAATTAATATGATAAAGAATTAAGGAAAAATAACTGGAAATGAACACAAACCAAAAAAGTATAAGGACAAACACATTATTGCATGTATAGAAAAAAAGGTCAATTTGTAAACACATCATTTAACCTTGAAGATGTGGAGTAACATGAAGTCTTTCATTACATGTGTTGAATTTATGTTTACCGACAAAGAAATAAAGGGAGACTATATGAAGCAGCAGCAGTATGCTCCATCTCATAATTGGGTAGACCAGGTTGCCCTGATAGACCTGTCTCACTGGAAAAAACACTTATTTCTTTTATTACATCCACAGGAAATGGCACTAAACAAGTAAAACTTACAACAGGTCCTTGGAGTTCCAATCCTTGCAGTGTCCCTGTGTTCACACAGCACAATAGCACTGAATCTTATATACCTCTTCACAGTGCTTTACACCCCCTCTCTAAGCGGTTTACAGAGTCAGCATACTGCCCCCAACAATCTGGGTCCTCATTTTACCCATCTCGGAAGGATGGAAGGCTGAGTCAGCCTTGAGCCAGTGAGAATCGAACTGCTGGCAGTTGGCAGAATTAGCCTACAATACTGCATTCTAACCACTGCGCCACCATGGCTCTATGATTACATGATTACAAGCGTGGCATTTTTGCGATTTCTGATGTTCCATGCCAGCTTCCCACAAGTAAATGTTTTACTTGGATAAGTTTCCATTTGTTGATTCTACTGTATACTGCCAGATCTGTTGGCGGCAAATTTGTTTTGTCTCTTGATCAGTTGAGGAAGCTGACAGGAAGTTAGAAGTCACAGTCATGCAAAGTCCTCACTTAATGACCCACATGGTCCCCATTTAATAACAGTAAGTGGGACTGCCAGAATTGTCGTTGTTAAGTGACATAGTTATGTGATGTCACATTTTACAACTGCGTTGTTTAGCAAAAGAGTTCCAGGCCCCAATTGTCATCATATTCCAAGGATTATTTTAAGTTCTATCTTCCCGTCATAACAGAATGATCTTCCTTGCTTCATTAATCACTCTTCATCTACTGATAAATTCCAAATGACTATATAATCATACAGCATTACAATATTAATTTATTTTCTGAAAGTTAACATTAATAAAGTTATGGCTATTAAACCCAAATACTTATGGGATACTAAGGGATACTTAAGATGTAGGCTTGTTGCATTATTGAGGCAATAATGGGACAAGCCTATATCATAGGTATCCCCCCATCAAGTGATAGTTCCAGCAAACTTTGGTTATATTGACAGCCAACTTTTTCTAAATATTCTCTGAACATTTAGCATGCTGAACATCAAGGTTTCTTTAAAAAGTTGCCAGTGCTGAATGAATTAGTTCCTTGTATAACTGTTGATAGTAATTTGTTGACTCACGATTCGTTTGTTCAGCTTAATCATGTTACTTTGCACTGATTTGCTAGATTACAAGCATTAAACAGCAGCTTTTAGGGTTCAACTCAAGACACACATGGAATTATTTAGCAGGTTAATACATCTCCCAGGTCACTTAATGGCCACAGAATGGATAAGGGCATTCGTATTATCACCTTTACTGGCTAGGACAAATGACACTTCCCAAGAAACTGCTTGTGTTATTATTCTCTCCCAAGCATCTTATGATTCCTCACTAATCATCTATGATCAATGAGGCTATTGAGGTGATGCGTATTCTAGCCAAACTCACTGCCCCAGATGCCAGTCCATGAATAAAAGGAAGAGCTGAACATCCCTAAAGAAAGGAACAATTCAATTTTAGCTGAGTCCTGAATTCTCCAATTCGCCAAAGTATCTTGATTTTCCATGTAAATTGCAGGGGAAACTATGAGAGCACGTCGGCTGGGGATAAACAGGCTTCTTCTTCTTCTAAAACACTGCTCTTTGACCTGGCCAATGACATTATATAATTTAGCATCATCAAACCAATTCTGACGAAGATGCGTAATACCAGGAAAGCAAACGGGACGATTATTTGTGTCAGATGAAAAATAGTCGTGCTTAGCTCGCTCATCACGCAGGTCAGACAAAAGACCGCCAAGCTCACGCAGGGGTAGAGAGAAAGCTTTGCAAACATGAAGGCGTGCTCTTTGCCACCGTACCGAGCAAAAGGATGCAATGTCTCAACTTCGTGAAAGAGCGCGGCAATCCATATGCTGAACTGGAAGATGCTTGCGAAAAAGATGGTAACGCAGCTAATCTGAATGGCTTCTATTTCATTGTAAGACTTCTCGGCAAACTCGCTGGTCAGCTGATAAGCAAGAGGCAGTCCGCCAATAAAAGCCAAAGAAAGGGTATTAAGGAGGGTCATGAGTCGTGTGGCTTTTGTTACATGGAGGAAGAGCGAATGATGGACAAACCAGAGAAGACCAATGGTTACAAACGATCCGAAGTAGGCAAGGAAACTTGGACTGAATTCTCTCAGTGCTTCAGCAAGATGACCACTGTATTTCACTTTAACCAGATTATCATCAGGAACGTTATCTTCACTGTTGAGTAAAGAAAACAATATATATGTATTTAGAATAGGCTCGCCACAAATAATCTATTTTAAAAGGATACTTCATGAATTTCATGTAAACTCATAAAATATTTCTATGGTTTTTAGAGTTACCAACAGAAAGGGAGGAGGGAAAGCAGTAGCTTGAAAATCGAAAGTGCATTCCATAAATAGTTTTCAAAGATAGTAACTAGGTGACTGAAAGTTTCTGCCATGCAAAATTCTAACTGGAGAACATGACTGATGACGCTTGGTTCTGGATGTGTCTCATTGGAGAATATGAATTATGATGCACCCAGGGGGGTGGGGGAAAACCAGGGTCAAGGGTGACAATGAATTATGTGTCTCAGAGTCAGCTACACCCAGGCAGTGCAGGACAATTTAACTCCCAATAAATCCCTTTTAAGTTTTGGAAGTTTGGCTCGAGACTCATGATTTAATTGGGGTAACTGCTGGAATCCTGACATTTCACTTCGGTTGACTTGAGTTTGTTTATAACCCCAGTAGCTCCTTGAACACATTTCATTCCATGCCTAATCAAGAAGAAAATGTAAATGCATCAAGCCAAGCTCCTTAAGTTCAAACTACCTTTTTTTGTGGTCATTTTGACAGAGTTTTACTTTAGGAATAGTCGCATCCGATTACCATGGAAACCATCAGCCAATTGGGTGCATAATATAGATCTATACAAACTCACCCATTCCATTATGAAAATAGGAACAGGTAGTTCTCGACTTACAATTCATTGAGTGACCATTCAAAGTTACAATGGCACTGAAAAAAGTGAGTTATGACTGTTTTTCACATGAACGTTGCAACACTCCCACAGTCACATGATTAAAATTCAGGCGCTTGGACAACTGACTCATATTTATAACAGTTGCAGTATCTGGAGGGTCACCTTTTATGACCTTCTAACAAGCAATGGGGAAGCCAGCTAACAATCCTGTTATGAACTTAACATCTGCCAATGATTCACTTAGCAACTGTGGCAAGAAAAGTCATAAAATGGGGCAAAACTCAACAGATGCTTCATTTAGCAAGATAAATTGTGGCCTCAATTGTAATCATAACTCAAGGACTACCTGCATAATTCACATCCTTGCATTTCTAGTAAAGTAACATTTTGAAGATAATATTTAAGTGAGGAAGAACCAAAGCAAACTATTCACTGTCTTCACTCTCTTGATTACATAATAGGCTTTTTTCTTCCTATCAAGAACAAGCAAGGATTATAAATCTGGGAAACTTTTATCATCAATATAGTAACCCTAAGCAATGATTTATGTCTTTTACAATTCTCAAAGGAGTCTGAATTCAGTTTTTTAAAAAAGGTCCACTTTAAAAAAAACCCGAAGAAACAAAGAGTTTCTTAGCATGGTAACCCAAAACCAAACCAGGTTAGTGTGATGTATGAATATTATCACAGTGTTTGTATCTGCACAGAACTCAATGAGAAACCAGACCAATGGTTGAAATTCAGATGACCACTGCAAATCCCATGCAATGAAGGAAACAAAACAAGAAGTGGGGAAAATTGTCCCACAATTCTTTCTGTTGTTGACACAGCATGGCACAGAATGTTAAGTTAATTAGGATAATCAGCACATATATTTTCCATAGGACTGAAGAAATCCCACCCTTTTGACCTTTTGTACCCGGAAAAGTACTGTATTTTTCAGAGTTCAAGATGCTCTGAAGTATAAGATGCACCTAGCTTTTGGGGAGGAAAACATGGGGGGAAAAAAATTCTGCCTCTGCCTCTCAGCAATTTACCTCCTTGCAGCAAACAGCAAATAGCCTGGATAGTTTCAGCACAGCCTGCTTAGCACAAGCAGCTGACTGTCAGTTGGATTGGCCTCCCAACAACCAGCTGTTTCAGGCTGCAGGGATTGCCATCACTTATTGCCGCCTCCGCGCATCCCATTTGCAGCCTCTACAAACCCCATTTTCGGCCTCCGCATCCATTTTTCGGCCTCCGCGCACCTCATTTTCGGCACATTCTGGCTGGCAGGGATTGGAACAGGAGGAAAATGGGATGTGTGGAGGCTGAAAATGGGATGCGGGGGCTGAAAATGGGGTGCGCAGAGGCGGCAATAGGCGATGGCAATCCCTGCAGCCTGAAACAGCTGATCATCAGGAGGCCAGTCATACCGACAATCAGCTGCTCATGCTAATCAGGCTGTGCTGAAGCTGACCAGGCTATTTGCTGTTTGCTGCAAGGAGGCAAATGCCAAATGGTGGAGGCTGGCGGGTGGGCGGGGCTCCCACAACATTCACTGTATAAGACCTACAGACATTTCCACCCACTTTGGGGGGTGGAAAAACTGTGTATTGTACTCTGAAAAATACGGTAACTAAAACTTGGTTTTGCCAGTTGGCTTGGGGCCCTGAGGGAGAGCGCTCACCACTGGGTGTACTTGACAGGGTAATAAGACATCATTCCTGTACTGTCCGTTTCTTGATTCCTGGTTTTGGGGTTTTTTTTGCATAGTTTTAAAACATTTTAATTGGCATAGTTTTACAATTTGAACTGTAAGCTGGCTAGAGTCGACTTACCAGAGATAGAAATTTAACAAATAAAATCCTAATCGAAGATGGCACTCCAAAGGTAACAAATTTAACAAATAAAATCCTGATCGAAGATGGCACTCTGGACGTAATAAAGTTCAGGCATACTTATGAGAGGTCTATCCATGATAATAAAAATAAAGGTAAAGGTTTCCCCAATCCAGTCATCCCCAACTCTAGGGGCTGGTGCTCATCTCCATTTCTTAGCCAAGGGAGGTAGGGTTGTCTGAAGCCATTTCTGTGGTCATGTGACCAGCATGACTATAGACCAAGGTGCACAGAATGCTGTTATCTTCCTAAATAAGTGGTACCTATTTATTGTCGACTTGTAAAACATTCCTACGATTGAGCCTCGAGCCAAGCTTCAAAAACTTCAAAGGATTTATTAGCAGCGAACATGTAGGCATGACCTGTATGAAGCCGATTCTGAGACACGTAATTCACTATCACTTATGATCGCTGGAATCCTGACATTTATCTACTTGCATTGGCAGGTTTTCAAACTGCTAGGCAGGCAGGATCATGTTAATCTTGATGATCATGGATCATCATGCCAACCATGATAATAAATATACTCAATTACAGATACTTTTTTTCCCCTTAGCACACTTTCACACTTGAAAATATTGGGCGCAGTTTTATTCCATTGCTGAAGACTTACCATATGTCCAGAATTAACAGAGTTGCAACAATTGCATAAACTCCATCACTGAAGGTTTCCACTCGTTCCTTACTCAGGGGTTCCTTAAGATAAGAAGTAAAATAGTCTACAGGGAGTTCCTCCTCTTGACCTGCCAACAAAAATTACCATGCTTAATAAAATTGATTTCTATGTTAAGATGGAAATTTGTCTGCTTCTTCATAAAGCCCACAACCCCTTCCCCCAAAAGCAGTATCAATTTGGAATATCATCATTCTTATTCTATGAGGTGCCTTGTTTATCCAAGCTTGTTGGGAATATCGTGTCTGCATTATTTTTATAAGGTAGTTCTCGTTTAATGACCATTCATTCAGTGATGGTTTGAAGTTAACGGCTGTTGCAGGCTCACTTTGGTCATGTGATCAAAATTTGGGCACTTCGCATTTACAATTGTAGTGTGTGCTTCAACTCCTCCCAACTGCCTCTCTCCCACCAATTTTGCTCATTTTGGCTGTCCTGCGCTCTTCTGCTGCCACCTAGTCCTAGGTTCCCCTAGCCAACCTTCGCCACTGTCTTCCTCCCACTGCTGAAGCTTCAGGGAAGACACACAAGAGCCTTGCAAAGAACTAGTTTGGTCTAGTGGCTAAAGTACTGTGCTAGAAGGCGGTAGTTTGTGAGTTCTAGTCCCGTCTTAGCCATGAAAATCAGCTGGGTGACTTTGGGCCACTCTATTCTCTCTCTCTCTCTCAGCCCAGCCTACCTCACAGAGTTGTTGTGGTGGGAAAAATAGGAGCGGGGAGGAGCATTGATATGCTTTATAAAACAACACTCACCAAGAATTCTGCTTCTAAACCATTTGGTTAGATGGCTGAGGAGTGGGAAAAAGACAATGAGCCCAAGAAACATGTAGGACTGCAAGGAAACAGAGGCATATTTATTGAGTGCATTGATATGATGGTAATAAATAGAAAAGGATGCATTTCTATTTGTCCTACTTCATCAGGTACTGCATGTTCCATAATAAAAATAAAAGACTCTAAATGATTTTTTTGGAATCATTTAGCAAAATTGGGTTTCAGAGGAAAAACAGCACTATGTCCAAATTCACACTTGTCAGTTAACGCTTTATCACAATGAAGAATGGCAATTCAGAGTCTTCACAATTCCTTGTGCAGGACTCAGAACAGAGCATTCCAGTTCTTATGGACCTCTTAAGCATACATGTCCCTGAGAAAGACATCTGAGACTTTTAGGCAGTCTGTATAAAGCAACAATTCTTTCCAATAAAATAATAAGGTGACTTTTTCTTGTAATTCATCAGGAATCCTGAGTACTAATAGCAAAGACGATCTTCAAAAGCTTTATAGAGCCAGAACAGAATTACTCTCACATGAAGGAAAGCGTCAACAAGTTTGGAACAACTTCAAGTCTAAAAAACTAGAAAAATCCTAATGTATAGTAATGGGAAATGGTGCTCCTTTTATGACTTGTGAACTTTAGCTCCCAGAATTCCTGAGTCAGCCACGGTTCCCCACCTTTGGTGTAGGCCCTCAACACAAAACAAAAGCATCTTACACACATAATCACTAAATTTAAGGCCCACCACAACCTAATGTGAAACACTGTCCTAATTCAATGAACCTACCAATGGAAAGAAGAAAAATGAGAAAATGGCAGCCAAAAAGCTCAGCGTTGGTCCTCTCAGGATAATCTTTAAGATATGGTATTTATAAAATGCCTTATTTTCGGATTCCTGTATCTGATGATTCAGTAGATACGAATGTCTGAAGCCATATAATACAATCATCACCTGCAAAACAAGAAAATATTGCTGCACCGTAAGAGGGCAAATAATTATTTGGATGTAAATTTAAATAATCATAGTTTGGATGCTTGGAAGATCTGCCTTGAGTTTTCATAGGAGTATGTTGCACCTGGGATCCAAAGCTCAAAAGGTATTTAGAAACAGGTGTACACATAAATACCATACTTTTTCAGGCCTCCTTAAAGAAGCCATATACTTTTCTGTGCTTACAGAGCAACTGTGTCACTACCCATGTCAAAACACCTTATTGTACATCCTATACTTAACCTTAGGGAGCGTGATGGCTCAGAGGTTAAAGATGCTGAAGTTGTCAGCTGACAAACTAACAGCCTGGGTTTGAGACTTGAGTGCTGCAGAACGGGGTGAGCTCCTGTTAGTTGCTCCAGCTCCTTCCCACTTAGCAGTTCGAAAGCATGCAAATCCAAGTAGATAAATAGGTACCACTTCAGTGGGAAGGTAACAGTGTTCCATGCTCCTCGGCATATAGTCATAAAACCAGTACACATTTGCAATGGTTGTTGGGTCCCAGGATAATGTAGCCACTCTTTGCAACCTTCCCAGTTGGTTTCCATCAAGCCAAGTCAATGGGGAAAGCTGGCTTCTTATTAACAACTGGAGTGATTTGCTTAACAGCCATGGCAAAAAAAGTTGCAAAACTAAGTGTGATTCACTTAACAACTGCCTAGCTTAGCAATGGAAATTAGACTACTTGTATATTCTCTCACAAAGCAAAATAGTGTTTATCTTGTAATTACTACCCATCCCACTTTTAACTATGGTTTATTCAACTGTACAGTCCAGGTAGTCTTCAACGTATGACCACAACTGAGCTCAAAATTCATGTTGCTAAGCAGGGGTGGGATTCAACTGGTGTTACTACCAATTCGGTAACTATATTTTACGTGTGTGGAAAACCTTAAGCTGTGCCACCCGGACAGCTGAAAAGCACCTGTGCACAGCGTTTGAAAAGCCTCTTTTTTCCTGCTTTTCCAACCTCAGCTATGCCGCTTACAGGTAAGAGCCCGGGCGGGCAGGTGGGCCAAACAGCAGCAAACACAGAACCGGTTCTGTGTCTGCTGCTCTTCAGAGCTACCTGTTCTATAGACCCAGACAGAACCGGTAGCATCCTACCCCTGTTGCTAAGTGAGAAATTTGTTTAGTGAGTTTTGCTCCATTTCACAACTTTTCTCACATGTTTGTTAAGTGAATCACTGCCATTCTTAAATTAGTAACACGGTTGTTAAGTGAATCTGATTTCCCCATTGAGTTTGCTTGTCAGGTCTCAAAAGGTGATCAGGGGACCCAGGGACACTGCAACTCTCCTAAATGTGAATCAGTTGTCACACATCCAAATGTAAATCCCCATGGACCATGGGGTGCTATAACTGTCCTAAGTGTGAAAAATAGTCATAAGTCACTTTTTTCAGTGCCATTGTAACTTTGAACAGCCACTTAATAGCAATAGCATTTAGACTTATATACCACTTCAAAGTGCTGTACAGCCCTTTGTTGTAAGTCAAGGACTACCAGTAGTGAAATATAAAACAACTATACCTGGATGACACCAATTATAACAGCACAGCTACTAAACATAAAAAGTCCAAATGGTTGGTCAGGAAAAGACGTCATTAAGGAGAACTGCAAAATTTAAAAAAAAAAAGATTATTTTTGTATTCCAGAACAGATTAAAGCAAATGGTTAATCTGAGGTTCTAGGACCAAATTTGTCTCCCTGAATCCCTTCTGTGACTCTCCATGCCTTGCCTGTCCCAAATTCATCTGCAGAAAAATGGCGGCAGGAGTTGCTGTTGTTACATGCTGTATACTCCATGTTTGGCTTACAGTCACTCACACAACCAGTTGGCTGGAATATACTTGAGACCTGGTCAATTTCCAGAAACAACAAAACGTTTGCTACTAATAATGTATATTTGCTCTTTCTCACACCTACCCAGGTCCTTCACAACTAGCAATAGCACTTAGACTTATATACTGCTTCGCAGTGCTTTACAGCCCTCTCTAAGCAGTTTACAGAATCAGCATATTTCCCCTAACAATCTGGGGTCCTCAATTTTACTGACCTTGGAAGGGTGAAAGGCTGAGTCAACCTTGAGCCAATCAGGATCAAACTCCTGGCAGTGAACAGAGTTAGCCTCCAATATTGCATCCAAACCACCGTGCCACCATAACTAGGCTCTTACAACTAAAATAACTAGGTTGTCAGGTATTAGCCAGAAGGACAGAAACTGCCAAATCTGGATCCAAGGATGACTCTAAGGGCAGGCTTAGTATCCCTTTGATCCCCAAAGTCCTTGCTTTGTTGATTCATAATACAGGCAGCTAGTCTTGACGTGCTGATTTTCAAGTTTGGTAGCTGTTGATGGGACTTGGGGTTTCTCATCATCTGTTCTGACCCAATTTCCTGCGTCCAGTTTAGGTTACATTTTTCCCCCTTTGTTTTCTTAACAATTTGGTTTTGTTTTTTTTCCTGAATTACCTCCCCTAAGGGATCTTTTAGATAAGATTCCTGGCTGTTTGTACGTGCTTAGTTCATCTTTAGGGAGGGCAGCTTCAGCCTACTCTCACACTGTCATTTGGAGACAGGAAATATATACAAATCGTAGGGTGAGCTCTATAATTTTTAAACATCAAAGAAAAAAAAAATCCAAATGCCACCCCAGACATAGGAAGTACAAACAAACAAACAAATAAATAACACGGTCCATGCTTCAGATCCAGGGGTGGGCTGCTTAGGGTTCGCACGGGTTCAGGCGAATCCTTTGCTCTGGCGATTGGTTGGGCCTGCCCACCCGCCCCTCCTTGAGTTTGTCCTTTATTTCTGCAGTTTTGAAATTCATCTGAGGTGTGGGACAGCCAATTACCGCGCCTCAGCTGTTTTACTCAGTGGCATTGCAGTGGAAAGTAAGTTTTAAAGCTGTAAAATTGTGGTTTTTATAATGTGCTCTGCGTGCACACAAAGCACGCACTCACCACACCCGTTGTGAAATTGGTCAAAATCCACCACTGTTTAGATCCTCCCATTTTACTTCATCTGCACTAGCTTCCACCTTATGGAATATTCTCCACCAAGAAATATGTGAAGTCCCCAACTTGTTGCAATTCTGGAAACAGTTTTAAAAGCTCTTCTGTTGCAATTTGCTTTTGCTACTACATAATTGACTGCAGGTGCCTCTTTTGATTTTAATTTGGGTTTTATCTTTGCTTTTAGACCAGGGGTATCAAATTCAAGGCCCGCGGGCTGGATGCTTAGATATGGCCTACGGTGCTTCTCCTAGTGAAAATGGAGCTTGGGACGGCTGCAAGTGGCTCAGGAGCCCTTTCTTGCTGGAAGAGCGCTCAGGCCACCACAGGTGCCCCTGACACGAGTGATGTTGACCTGGTCATGTCCCCTGGCCACACACCTCCTGCCCCCACGAAGTCAAGCACAATCCTGATGCGGCTGTCAATGAAATCGAGTTTGATATCCCCGTTTTAGACCATATTCTGGGTTTAATTATATATTACTCTGCTTCTATGTTTCTTTTGTTTGATGTTAGATACTTCCATAGTCCTCTCTTACTAGATCAGATAAGGTAACATGTATATTTAAGTACATGCATTCTTATCCACTGTGGCTTCTGTATCTTCAAGATGCATCCTACATTGGATCTGCAGGTTTTAATGTGATGCATCTCTTTAGTTGATCTCAGATGTATCAAATATTGGCACAAGATTCCAGCGTGCTCCTAATCTCTATTAAATGGATACACAATGTATTGAACTACAAATCAGCACCTGTACAGGCGAAACATAAAGCTTGTGTGGTCAATTTGTGGTTCAATGCAATGAACAAATCTGGAAATCTGGATTATAAGGTAACCAACTCAGGAAACAACCTAAAGATGTGACATAATACATTGAAGAAATGAGAGTGCTTACTTACGGTATATGGCAAAAAAGTAATGCTCATCATGCATGCCTAGGAAAAGGAAGAAGTGATATAGCAGATGAAAAGAAACCTTTTCCCGTTCATAGATACAGTAATTCAGTTCTCATCATTCTGTGGAGGCAGTCAGTCAGTCAGTCAGTCAGTCATTCAATCAATCAGAATAAAGCTGGATGGGACCTTGGGGGTCTTTTAGTCCAACCCCCTTTCAGGCAAGTGACTGTCCTCTCTCTTCTTAAAAACTTCCAGTGATTAAGCACCTGCAACTTCTGAACGCAAGCTGGTTAATTGCCCTCACTGTTGGAAAGTTTCTCCTTAATTGCAGGTTGCTTCTCTCCTTAATTAGTTTTCATCCATTGTTCACTGTCTTACCTTCTGGCGTTTTGAAAAATAAGTTGACCCCCTTTTTTTTGTGGCAGGCCCTCAAATACTGGAATACTGCTAACGTATCATCCCTAGCCCTTCTTTTCTCTAATCTAGATGGCCATACCCAATTCCTGCAACCGTTCTTCATATTTTGTGTCTCTGGGCTCTTAATCATCTTAATTGCTGTTCTCTGGACTTTTTCCAAAGTCTAAACATATTTTCTGTAATGTGGTGACCAAAACTGGATGCCTTATTCAAGTGTTGCCTTATTATGGTTTTATAAAGCGGTACTAATACATCACATGATTTTTCAATCATGGTTCAAGGGCAACTCAATTCTTTTCTGAATGGCAAAGATAACATCAGACACTTCATACCAGAGAGTATGACTTTACTGGCCAAAATCATCCCATCTTTGGGAAAAATCACACAGATCTGGAAATTATCACACTTTTACATTTAGTTCTATTCCACTGTTACTTTTAAAAAACAGCCCAAATCAATGGCTCCAGTTAAACTCAGAAGGGGAATGAAGGGCCTGCATTTTTAAGAGCTATGAATGAAAGGTTTCAACATTTCTGGCTATTGTCTAGCTCCCTGCATAATCTTTTGGTTTCTTTTATTTCCTTTTTCTTATTTTCTCCTTTAATAACATGTATCACTGATGCCATAGACATCAAACTGCTCTGGTGTTGTCTTTCAAAGGAAAACGTATCATATGAATACTACAAGTTTCAGGAATCATCAAAGTACGGTACATAAAAAACCTACTCCTATAATTTATTTAGGTTACTAAGGGTTTCTAAGATATAAAAATCACTAGTCCCTAGATGTCTTTGCTTCCAAGAAATCTAAGAAGTTTGAAAGCTATGGTTTAGAGATATATGTGAATGAGACCAAACAACGTTGTTTGATTTATTTCTAAACGTGAGCAGCTTAGCATCCTACATTAGACCTTTGATCTACTGCAAAATCCTCATTCTGAAATTACCTCACTTTTGATTTATATACTGAGGGAAGGATTGAGGTAGAGGAGCAAGTCTTTTTCACTCAATAGCTAGAATTGGCATCCACAGAATGTTTTTATTATAATAAAATCCTACAAATGCCGTTTTCACGTAAACTATTAATTACAAATTACCACATAATGACACGAGAAACAGTATTCCCTTCATACCCAAATGGCCATTTTGAAATGATATGACTTGAATGAAAAGCTCTCCGGGTACATCAGCACATTTCATTTTTTTTTTTTTGAAACTCAAAGCCCAAATACGGATATTATGATTCATCAGCACAATGATTTAAAAATATCAAGCTCCATTTCATGTCTTACTAAGAGCTGGGAACATCTATCATTTCAAAAAAAAAAAAATAGATTTAGGATTTTTTTAAAAAAAATTCACTCACCAAATTTGCAAGGGCAAGTACATCATCAATGAGTTCAACCACCTGAAAAAGTCTGGAGGGAAAAAAACAAAATATTATAAAACAGACCTACAAAATTTTGATTCATAACTAGACTCATTCAAATTCGCAAGTCTTAAATTTGGTGATAATTATCAAATATTCTCCCGTGGGGCAAAAATGGAAACAAGATGCAAAGGAAACTGCCAGTTAAAATTCAGGAACTACCCTTCCTAAAATGCCTTTTAGGTCAGCAGATTAGACACCCTCAATTCCAATCATCAGGAGCATCAAGCCTTTCTGGTGAATGCAACTATTCTTGCTCATTCTATGATTCAGAGAAAGGAAAACAAACTGGATTTTTTTCTGGTATGTCTTACCTTAAAGGAATTACTATCTCCTTCCTATGTTGAGTTTGCTGCAAAACATAAGAGTAATTCTCTGGAATCTTGCTTTCTCTCCCTCTGGCAAGGACTCAGCTCACTATCTTATTTAGATTTACCATATTGCACCTATGAGTTTCAGATAAGATAGCAGAACTCTTTTTCTATTTGTCATTTATGTATTGATCTACTTGGAGTAGATAAAAGCCTTCTAGTCAATCCTGACTCCTGGAGTTTGCCTGGAAAAGATCCTCCCTTGCCAACATTTTTGGAAGTGGTTTGCTACTACTTCCTTCCTAAGGCTGAGAGAGGCAGCTGGTTTTGAGCCCAAGGCCTGGCTCCTGATCTCGCACCTGGTGCCACAACCACTACATCAAACTGCTTTCTTCACTTAATTAATACAATAACATAAACCAGAGATTTCTGTCTCTTCTGAAGAAGGAAAAGGAATCAAATACAGATGTTGGCAGTAAATCAAGCAAATCAACTGTCATTGTTATCATTTGAGAAATCCTTATTCTTCTTTGATTTTTTCATCTTGTGTCTAGCTGATCTTGACTGGTTTTCATGTATGATCCGCTTCTATCAATGCCATTTGCCCAAAAGAATTAAGAATGGCTGCATCTGCACATTAAGATACATCATCATATCTCTGCTTTTGGCTACACACAATCCACAGATTTACTTCTTATGGTCTGAAAATCATGCTTAACGATTGATTTATCATTACATGTCAAGAGGGCCAGTACAGCAGAATCAACAAACTGCAGTTTAATGCAATACTTGTGCAAGCTGTGACAACTTGAAGAGTGACAACTCTTATAACCTAATAATACTACTTCATACTTCACAATTGCTTCCTTGAGAATCAGGATGCTGATGGATTTTGTCTTGGGCTCCTAAGTGGCCTTATTTTGAAGACAAGTCTAACTGGTTGGGAGAGGCAAGTAATCTAATTCATAAGGCTGAGTTTAGCAAATTTTGCAAAGCAGCCTGTAAAATTCTGTGGATAAGTTTGTTTAAAAGCTCAGCAGTAACTTCAGCATGGAGCAGAATTGTGTAGAAAGAATAAAGTTGATCATAATGAAAAATGATTGAAAGAATAATGAATTATGACAACTGAGATGCCCATCATCATACTTTCTTTCTTTGGCCACGCAGACTAGCTAATTGGTACATTGCTGTTGTGTTTCTAATACCATCCGATTGACTAAGTTCCAGTTTTCAAGTGCTTGATACCTGTACGATTTCTAAAACACTCCAAATTGCATACCTCACATGAGCTGCCCAAGCAACTGTTACTATTAAAAAGGTCATCAGGTAAACAGCAATTTTGGCGGCTAGTAGCTGCTGGACACTTTCTCCAAGTTTCTGGAAAAAAGACACAACGTTAATCAAAAAGCTGACAAACTCTTGTTTCATATAATACTACACAATTTCTTTTCAAATAAACAAATGCATGAAAAGATGTTTTATATAATACATAATTCTTAAGGTGATCCATATTATCCTCATTATATTTTTAAAGCAGTTCAAGAACATGAAGCTAGCCTAGCTCACAAAATACAAAAATAACCTAATAAGAACTCATCCTGTCTATAAATAACTCCTTAGAAATCTCAAACTGGTTTATAAACCGTGTTTTCATTTTCAGGAACTGCAAATAAAGCTTATGGCTAATGATTGGCCTTGTTTTTTGTTCAATCCTCTATTATCCCTATGCTTTGGAAAGTAGACTCAAATATTCAGTGCAATTTCCAAATTATTTTATGCAAACCTTGTTTGTAGGTATACGTATGTGTATATGTATTTTATACTGCTATTCTACATTTATATTATCCAGATTTCTAGTTTTAATTACTTCCTGTTGTGTATGTGGAGCCTGAGCAAGTCTATTACCACATTTTATTTATTATTGTCTTTTGGCCCATTTTTTGTCTGTATGTACTTTTGCTAACTATTCTGGCACTGTCAATTTCGTTTTGAGTATTTTGAATATTTGAATGCCAATTCTCTTGGGCTGCTTAAAGACCGCAATAAAGTTAAGTAAGTAAATAATATTATTCAAATACTACACCCTTGTTTTTCAGCATCTGCTACCTTTTCTGTACAGTACTTTGAAATCTATATCACAAAATGCCCAATCTCTTGAAACAATTCATTATATATTTAATTCCTGACATATTCAGCCATGTACTCCTTGCATGCAAATTCTCACCCTCTCTTCCTAACATTACATAATTCCTCTGGGGAACCCCAATGTGCTTTTTCAAGAGGCAACTGAACTTTCTGGGTTTTGTTTGAAGACATTTCACTTCTCATCCAAGAAGCTTCTTGGATGAGAAGCGAAGTGTATTTCAAGAAAAACCAAAACAGTCCAGTTGCCTCTTGAAAAAGCACCTTTGGGACAATCGTGACTTAGATGTCTGAGAATCTCATTTAGACATTCCTCCGAGGAACTTACATTGCGCTAAAAGTGGTCAAAAGTGGTGAAGAATTAAGAGGGAGAAAAATATGTTGTAATCTATTGTTCTTTGCTATCATTTGTAATGGACTTTCATCCCCAGCATATATCAGCGAGACAATAAACAAAGTTGATTCCCAGGCTAATGATAACAATATTTAAGAGAGTTCCCTCTTGACCAACAAATTATGGCATTCTGTACTCTATAAGACTGACAGATCAAAAGAGGCTGAATTTCAATGATCCATAACAGCATGTCCCACTATGTTAGAACAACCTTATTGGAAATTCAAACTGTTTAAACAGAATCACAACTGACCTTTATGTGGAATATGAAATAAACAATACAGTACCTCATCTGAATGTATCTTTGTATGTGCCACAGGTAAAATCTGCAACAGAAGAATCATATAGCTAAAGTAATGGGCAAGTTTTAATTTGCAAACATGAAACAAATGTGCAGAAAACATCTATGCTTCTGAAAATAAATCAAAAGCAGAAGTCCTTGTGTCGAATCTTACATCTGTAGCTTCCCACAGAAACATTTTATTGAATATAATATTGTCTGGCAAGGATGATGGGCTGCATCAGAATTGGTGAAGATACTTAACAGTAATTATTTTCTAAGCTGGCAAATCTCAATGGCTGAATTACAAAATAATAAGAATCCCTTTTTGAAACCTATTTTTATAAATGTGTATTAAAAGTTTTTGAAAAAAAAGCAAAAATCAACACATACTAATAAATAAACAGAAAAGAAAATGATATAAAAGCAGAGCAAAAAAGAAACAAAATAAATAGAAAGAAGATGACTTTTTAAAATGTCTTTTGACCATCAAGTCCAAACATCAGCCTAAATTAAAGCCAACAATATTCCTATTGACTCTTGTTGATCCAGATTTTTGTAGAATCTTGTCATAAGCAAAGTTGATTCCTGTACGAATACAGACTATCCTATCCAAGAATACAGACTTCAATTTAGTTGGAATAAACACCAATTGTCCTAATACCTCTAGAGATATTCCCATAAAGACACTTCTTAATTTAATGTGCACATTATTCAAGAAGGTTTAAATGCCAGGAATGGGAGTGGTAGATAGGTAGATTGAGCAGTGAGCTTTAGGTTAATGATTGATTGAATGATATCCAAAACTTTCTTCTGCTGCCTAATATGGATGAAATGACCCCACTTAAGAATCTCTTTAAATGAATGATGTTACCATCTTTTTAAAAAAAATACTAACAGCTTTTAAGAGTGCTGCAATGAAAGACAAATGATTGATTTTAAGTCACTTTTTGCAACTGAGGTTTTGGCGGGGAAAAGTCCAAGATACAGGTAGTCCTCACTTAATGTACACAATTGGGAGCAGCAAATCAATTTAGTGAAGCAGATGCTAAGTGAAACCACAACTGTGCTTCATGACCTTACTTCAGCTTTCTTTGCTTTATGAACCCGCAGAGGTAATAAATGTGAGGATTGGATACAGTAACCTTTTTAACACCATCCTAAATTTGCTCTACAACAGAGATGGGGGACTATGGCTCTTTTATGACTTGTGGACTTCAACTCTCAGAATTCCTGAACCAGCATGGATGGCTTAGAAGTTCTAAGAGTTGAAGTCTACAAGTCATAAAAGAGCCATAGTTCCCTACCCCTGCTCTACAAGATTAAATGAGGATAACCTATATATTCAATTTTAGCTAAAATGGAAAAAGACCCACTGACCTTGCTATAAAGATTGCTGGGAAATTGACTTAGTTTTTTCTTTCTCAGACCAAGACTACAGCTCCATTTGGTCCCGATGGGAGGTAACTTACTCTTTAGCTAAGCCTCCAGAATTTTTTTAAAAAAATGCACCAATTACCCTGTTTCTCCAACAATATGGCCTCCCCCAATAGGAAGTCCCAGCATGTTTTATAGGCATGAAATGAATATGGCCTCCCCCAATAGGAAGTCCCAGCATGTTTTATAGGCATGAAATGAAATTAAGCCCCTCCCCCCAAATTAAGGCCTATATTAAAACATGCGAAATGGGGGGGAATGGTGGGAGGGCTTGCCGTTAGGAAGTACTTTTGTTGCACACCCGGATATGGTGCTGCCTGCATTGACCCCAATACGAAGTGTCCCACCAATACCGAGGTCAACATCCAAGCCATCGCTGCCCGCCTGCCCAAAGATGCAAGGGGGGGGGGATTAAGTCACTCCCGAAAAGATGGCTTAGCCATTTTTTCGGGGCTCAAAAAAAAAACAAAAAGACCCAGCCTTATTATATGAGAAACACGGTAGTATCAATTTTTGAACTTTTGGAAATTTGCAAACTGGCTGTCCTCCCATTCTATCTTGATGCTATCATTCCTACCCATTCCAGTGTTCAGCCAAAAATTTGATAAACAAATCTGTATTTCATGTTATTAAACATTTATACAGCCACCCAACTCACACACAGTGATCCACATATATATCCCATATACATTAATATTAGTCACTAATAACTTTGATCCGTTAGAAACAATGAAAGGAGAAATTAATATGGAAAAGGCTCAAAAGGGAGTTTGGGGAGAAGTAAAAGACAGTAACCCATAAGCAAAACCATTTTAATTTAACAGATTTTATACCGCTGAGCATGTCAGCATCCTGACAAGATAGTGGTTTTCGTTAAAGTAAATAAAAATAAGTATATAAAGGAGTTCACCATGCAACCTGTGGCTCTTTGTTAAGTAAAATACGGTTTGGTGATCTAACCCAACTGCTTGGATTCACACAATACAATTCAACCGTACAGTCTGGGTTCTCAGCATTCACTTAGCCCACTGGCATGCTGATTTATTTACAAGCCTCTCCCTCTGACCAACACACCCAGTCTCCATTTTGGTAAATAAAGATTGAAAATCAAAAGCGGAACATAACATCACTAACAGCAGGGCGAATGCGACAAGTCACGAACTGCGTTTCAAATGTCTATGGAGTGAGAAAGCTGTATAAAAACTCTCTCACTCCGTTGTGACGAAAGGATAAAAGGGGCAGATTTTTTGTATAACGGAGGAGAGAAATAGACAAAGCTTATTTGTTCAGGTTAGAGATAGAAGGTAACCACTGCTTGATGCATTGTAGGATAAAAGTTCATATTTTGCAGTGGGTTCATCTCAGCAAAGTTGGATACTTCACTCCTCCTTCCCACCCACCCACCTACCTCCCAGGATCTTTACCGGCCGTATCTTCTACCTTATCTTACAGTACCATAAGAGCCTTTCTGCTCACTTATAGTACTGCAAGATAAGGTAGAAGATAGATTTTATTTTCTTTGCAACAGAGGGATTCCACCGAAGTCGCTTGCAACGCACAGGGAGGGGGAGGAAACAAACAAACAAAAGCCCTGCGCACATAACATCAACCCATCTCTTTCGGCACGCCATCCTGAGTGGATCAAGTGCGTGCCAGCCGGGATGCAGGGCTCCCCTTTCCGAGTGGAAGAGGAGTAAAAGAGCCCAGCCGGCGCGCAGCGGCCTCAGACTCACCATGACGGTGGCGATGATGGAGAAAAGCGCATCGCTGTAAGCCAAGAGCCGCTGCGAGGCTTGGGTGCCGCCCCCCAGCTCGCCCAGGCGCCGGTCATAGTTATACGGCGTCGGGGCAAGCGGAACCCGTCCGCTTCCTTCTGCCATCGTCCTTCTGCTTTTGGGAGGACGGGCAGAAGCAGAGCCGGCAAGCCTCCTGAGCCGCCGCTTCCGCTTTCTCTCCTGCAAGATGCCCGCCCTCCGCTCCGCCTTTTTATTTGTATTATTTTGGCGCGGGGAGGCGCTGCTGGACGAGAAATCGCTCCTGGCTCCTTGATACTTGGACAAACGGCTCCCTCTTTCGGAGAAGTTTTCTTCTTGCTCGCAGGGTGTAGTTATTTCATTATTTTAAAATAAAGATCTTAAACGAAACTCTGGGCGGCTCACGACCCAACTAAAAGCAACAACAACAAAAAAAACCTCCAAATATATCAACAGTGAAATTAAAACGAGCCCACCCACCCTCCTAAAACATTTGTGCAAGGACATTAATACAATCGAGCGAGTCCAGAATTATTTCACAAGAAGAGGACTACACTTCTCTGCTCCCAACAGAACAGGGCCTACACCACCAGGCTTGAGATTTTGGGCTTGGACAACCTAGAACTATGCCGCCTACGGTTGGACTTCAGCGTAGCACACAAAATTATCTGCTACAATGTCCTGCCAGTCAATGACTACTTCAGCTTCAACTGCAACAATACAAGAGCACACAACAGATACAAACTCAATGTAAACCGCTCCAAACGTGATTGCAGAAAGTACGACTTCAGCAACAAGAGTGGTCAATGCCTGGAATGTACGACCTGACTCTGTTGTTACATCGTCTAACCCCCACTCCTTTAACCTCAAATATCCACTATTGACCTCACCCCATTCCTCAGAGGTCTATAAGGGGCGTGCATAGGTGCCTACTGTCCCTGTCCTATTGTCCCCATTTATTTGTACCTATTTCCTGTATTCTTACTCATGTTTATACTTATACCTATTATCCTGTAAGCGATTGACAAATCAAATCAAATCAATCAATCAATAAAATAAATAAAAGTTTGTGACCATGGTCCCAAAGGTGCTTTTCAAAAGGCGGTTGGACTTTCTTAGGTTGTTTTTCCCCCCTTGAAAACTTTTTTGTTTCTCACCCAAGAAGCTTCTTCAGTTCATCTTCTTGGATGGGAAGTGAAATGTTTTCAAGGGGTAAAAAAATCAAGAAAGTCCCGTTGCCTTTTGAAAAGCACCTTTGGGACAACCGTGACCTAAATGACTGAGAATCTCCATAAATATTTGTGACTCCTCCTCCTTCTTCTCCTTCTCCTCTTCCTCCTTCTCCTCCTCCCCCCTCCTCCTCTTCTTTTCCCTTCTCCTCCTCCTCCTCCTCCTTCTTCCTCTTCTTCTTCCTCCTCCTCTTTTTCTCATTCCTCACGCTCCTCTTCCTCTCCTCTTCCTCCTCCTCTCCCCCCTCCCCTTCCTCCTCCTCCTCCTCTGCTCTTCCCCTTCCTCTTTCATCTCTTGCAAATGCAGTGCTAGTACTTCAGCCTGGCAACCCTGGCTGACCAGAGAAGCTGAACGAGACTGGCCCTGGATGGATAGGAGATCTCCAAAAAAATTCAGCAAGATAGGCTGGCAAGTTAGCAAAATATCCTTAAAAAAGACAACCAGACAGCATTTCACTATTGCTGCCAAGAAGACTACATGGATGTATCTGTATTGTCATCAAGAGTGACTGGGAGAAGACTAAGCTTAGCAAGGTTTTTTTCCCCCATTCACCTGGGCTTTCTAAACAGCCGAGTGTGGAAAAATGAGAAGTAACGATAATATTAACATGAAAATAAAATATAATTATGAAAAAAATGAAATAAAATACCCTTGCTGGTTAGCCTTGAAAATGTCACTCTGAGGCCATCATACTCCTCCAGCCGTTTATCCTGATTCCTGGGATCTTTTAAACAGTTTGAATGGATCCAACCCATATTCGGAGAGAAAGCTACTGCATTCATAATGCATGATAGCATTGCTAAGTTGCATTTTTAGCAATCTGATCAGAGATTTCTTCTAGGAGAAGTTTAACAGCCCAGAATGCAGCTATGAGCAGCTCTCATTACAACCCTGAGCTGTGCTGCTTACTAATAGGGTTTGAGGTGCAAATCCAAGTGATGGATATAAAGCCCGGTAGGCCATAGGTTTTACTTATCTGAGGGACTGCTTGCCTTCCATGAGTTCTACCCATCTTGTAGGATCAGAGTTAGGATCATCAGGTCCCAAGGATTAAACTGCGTTATCTAGCGGACCCCAGAAAATGGTTCTTCTTCATAGCAGCACCTTTAGAGTATCATTTTTCTCATATATTTAAATTTCCTCTATATGACCCTGGAAAACCTGACTATTCCTCCCGGTTGGGTGTTTGTTCATTTTGGGCTTCTAGTCTTCTTTTCCAATATTGTAAGATTTCTTGCCTTTTCAATTTTTAAGCCAAATGAATCTGGCTTCCCCATTGACTTTGTTTATCAGAAGGTTGGGAAAAGGGATCACATGGCCCCGGGACCCAGCAACGGTCATAAATATGAGTCAGTTGTCCAAGGGTCTGAATTTTGATCATGTGACCATGGGAGTGCTGCATCTATTCTAAGTGTGAAAAATGGTCATCAGTCATTTTTTTCAGTGCCATTGCAACTTTGAACAGTCATTAAATGAAATGTTGTAGGTTGAGGACTACCTGTATATAATACATATATGGATATATAATAAAACAGTGAAGGCAGGGTAAAACCAGGTTGTTTTACCTCTTGAAGTCTGTTGATTCTTATCTGGCTTCAATTTGCTTTGGCAGTTAGTAGATCAGATTCATGTGTATAAATACCATGAAATAAACTTGTACTGCTTTTGAACTCTATATCCTGTCTCCTAATTTCTTATGCCTGGCATTATATGTGGATAAGTGGTTAAACACAGACATTGGCTACCAACCTGCAAATCACACTGTTTTGAAAAATTAAATTGAATCTCTTTGGGTAGTTTCCCCACACAATACTACTTTCAGTATACAAAACCGCCGAAGAGACTGGATTAAATGTCTGTGGAGATTCTCAGTCATCTAGGTGATGGTTATCCCAAAGGTGCTTTTTCAAGAGGCAATTGGACTTTCTTGAAGAAAGAAAGAAAGAAAGAAAGAAAGAAAGAAAGAAAGAAAGAGAAAAAGAAAGGAAAAAGAAAAAAGAAGGAAGGAAGGAAGAGAGAAAAAAGAAAGAAAAAAGAAGGAAGGAGAAAAGAGAAGGAAGGAAGAGAAAAAAGAAAGGAAGGAAGGAAGGAAAAAAGGAAGGAAAGAAAAAAGGAAGGAAGGGGAAAAAAAGAAAGAAAGAAAAAAGAAGGAAGGAAAAAGAAAAGGGAGAAAAAAGAAAGGGAGGAAGGAAGGAAGAAAGAAGAAAGAAAGAAAGAAAGAAAGAAAGAAAGAAAGATCAATTGTCTCTTGAAAAAGCACGTTTGGGATGATTGGATTAAACCTTCTCTAGTTTCTTTTATATAGGACATACCTTGTGGGAGATAAATGAATATAAATATATTTTAACCACAGCACAAAACAATACTGTTGAGACCCTATTTAACAATTTTAAGTTTTTCTGTTAATATACTAACTGAGCATTCCACATGACACTGAATTTCATGTGTCATATTTCTAAGGAGACAGGTATATGTCAGATACTATTTCCAAGAATGTCGGTGGAAATAAGCTTGCTTTGTAACCGCATGGACTATACGGTGAGTTGCCTAGGACTGTAATTTACTACTAACTTCACGGGATTAAATTACAAGACTTGCACTGTGTTTGTAACCTTGGAGCAGCAATGTCATAAAATCAAGCAGGCTGTCTCCTCTGGCAGAGTGGAGATGATACAGAAACAGAAGTCTAGGGGATAAGTTAAGTTTTGGTTTGGTACGATGAAGGTCTGGAGGCCATTAAAGAGCCTTCATTTTCCAAAGCACGTAACAGGATATTAAAACTGCACTACCTAATCTGGGAGTAAGTTCCATTACATTCAGTGGGGTTTATATGTATGCAGATCTATATAGGATTCCATTGTAATTCTAATCGTTCAAAGGCAGGTCTGTATAAAGGCTAGAAGGCTTTCTAAATTAACCTACTAAAAGTGATGTTGTCAACCTGATACCTTTATTACTATACTGTACAAAAGTGGCCTTCATCCTTGCAATCTGAATTTCACAGAATTATAGAACGCAGGTGGTTTTCGACTTGCAACAATTCATTTAAAAGCTACAATGGCACTGGGAAAAAGTGAGTTATGACCAGGGGTGGGATTCAAATTTTTTAACAACTGGTTCTGTGGTTGTGGCTAGATGGGCGTGGCCATGTGACTGGGTGGGAGTGGCTTCTTCTTCTTTTTTTGCAGCTCCCCCCCCCCCCCGGGTTTTTTTTTTTGCATCCTGGGCCTCAGGGAAGCCTCCTGGCAAGGGGCGTTTTTGCTCCAAGAAGGCTTCCCTGGGGCCCAGGAAGGCAAAAAATGGAGCCGGGGAGGCTACTCATCAGGAGGGGAAAAAAAAGAAATACCTTAAGACTGGGTGGGGGAGAATGCAGACAGTGATGCGCGTGTGCGATAAGGACTTACTGGGTGGGGAGGGGAGGGGAGGGTAGAGAGGGGTGGGGCCAGCCAGGGGTACGATTTGCCGGTTTTCCGAACTGAGCAGAATCATAACAACTGTCATGCCCTTGTTAGAGTCAGACTCTGAGGGAGTGGAGGATCAGCCGACAGGGAGTGGAGGTGTGGCTCTGGAGGTTGTGGAGGAGGCTGGGGAAGGGCAGAGGCAGGCTGGGCAGTCAGAGGAACAACCAGGCCCATCACCTCTTCATCCCAGTACACGCAGGGAGGAACGGAGAAGGCAACAACTTGGCTTACGAGAGAGGAAGTGGCCATGATCCCCCTCATTGTTTGCAGCTAGGGAGAATAGTATATAAGAGAGACAGTTAAAACACAGCGTTGCCAGAAGCAAAGTGTGTGTTATTTTGGGATGAAGTTATCTTGGTTGGCGTCCTTCCAACAGATTGTGCCATGTTATCTCCTTGAAGTTGGTAATTACTTATCCTGGTCGGTTGTGGAAATTCCTTCATTGTAGTTTGTTTTAGTTTTTTATTTCACCTCTATCTGCTCATTAAGTTTGGA